GGATAGTAAAATTCTCGAGTATCTAGAAAGTTTCTATTCAGCGGTCAATCGACACGCTTGAAAAATTTGTCGTACGACAAATGTAATAGTACCCTAAGGAGAATAATGAACTGTGATTGGTCAATTTCTTCCGACACGACTTACTACATCCTATGTAGACCTAGCCGTACGACTACGACTTTACGACTTCTATGTAGACGAGGCTTTAAAAAATAACGGTATTGGTCGTTGGGGCAAATAGGAGCACGTTAAAGCGCATGCGATGCAAACGGACCTTATGTCCGTGGTCTGATACGGGCTTTAGAATATATTTCTCAGATTGGTCATTCTGAAAGCCAGAATTTCGCATTGTTGCCACGTGGGGTCTCGCAATATTAATTCGGAGTCTGTATTCGGAGTTCGCTCGTCATTCCTGTCTACTCTTGTCACTCCTGTCGACCCTTGATCTTGCGTGCGAGGGTGCGTCACATGAAGAAACGGAGAAATGCGAAACGTTGAACCGGATAGATAGGCAATGTCGTTGTTATCTTGAGTTGAGTTTCTCCCGTTGGACTTATATATCGACGTGAGAGTATTTGTCGTCGAAGAGTATCAAAGATTCAGGGCGAGTTTCATTACTTCAAATCTTACGTGAATAATTTATACGTATTTGGATCTCTCGGTCTTCTTTCTTTTCTCTCTGTCGAGGCAGTATCGTTGCTATATGTGCGATTATGCCGTTGGGCGTTGGATCAACGTACGTTGATGTAATGATGACGAAAGAAATATTATAGATGCAAAAATAGGCGCGGCCTTAGATTAAATATCTGCGTGACGATCCTAACCTAGTTTGACGATAACATGAAGTCGGGCAACACGGACAAGCATAGGGGCACGATACTCTTAAAGCCGGAGGAAAATGACCAAGTTTTCCAACTGATAGGGAATCGATGCCAGGTAATATTTCTTTGCCAGAAAAGAATTTTTTTTTGCGTTATCAGTATCCTCGATATCTTGATAATGATCTTGATAATGACTATTGATTGTTGTATCAACATATTGATTCGATTTACGAATAGTTGTAACAGCTATAGCGAATTCGGTTGCTTGCACTAGTGCGTACCGAGTGCACACCAAGGCCAGTTTACAGTCAATTTTTATACTTAACTTTGTCTTAAATGCACGTTCAAAGCGATTTAGCCAGAAAACAATCCGTATCGATGCTATACAGATCGTTTTACTGGCTACGAAATATTTCAAGAATATTTAAGACGCTTCGGAAATATAAGAATTGACTGTAAACAAGCCTTAGTGCGCACTCAGTGCGCACCAGTGCAAGCAACCGAATTCACTATTAGATTAACAATATTATAAAAAAATTGAAAAGAAAAATAGTCATGTATTTACAAAAATGCATGTACTTAATTTGTAATGTACAAAGGAAATGCTGGTTTCATGCAATTTGATATATTGAGGGTGAAATTTGAGAGATTACGATATACCTATGTTGAAAAGAATTTAGTTCTTTTAGCCAAGATTAATAATGTGGAGGAAAGTCCCCTTTCATGAGATAGGCTTTTAATGTCAGACAGCGGAGTTTCTGCTAAATCAATAGACGTCATTTGTGGATTCCACCGTGAATTTATTGCCCTTGGAGTAAGATCTGTTCAGTGGAGAAGTGATTGTGTAATCGTTGCGAAAAAAGATTTATGATGGAATTTGGACGTTGAATACCTGCTATCTCATATCAGAATCTAACCTTATAATAGATGACTTTCCTCTACATAATAGCTGTATTATTTTGTTTCGTTCAAATATGTAAATAGATCCAAAATATTATTTAATCTTTGATTTACATATTTACACAAAATATATTGTTTATGGAAACCCCAAACTTGTGTTTATATAACTTCGTATAAACAGTAAATGTATTTTAATGCAGTTAGAAAATATAATGGAATAATGTTATAATATCAAGGAAGTAATTATAACTTGTATATAAATGATATTATTTACACAAGTATATTAAAGAACAGTTAACATGTTTTGCCCAGACAGTTACATAATTACGATAATTTTAATTAATTGGACATTTATTTTTTATTACTTTTCATAATTTAAACCATTACGTATACATTGCTTATTTGCTGTTTTAGTGTTTAGCAGCTGGTGTTATACAATTATATTTGACTGAAGCTCCCTTACACAAAGATTGGATTAAAAAGAATACAGGTATTATTACCCTAATAAGAGACAATCCAAGACGCAGTTTTTTCTTGCGATTATATTGTTTGCAAAGGAAGATGATGTTATGGGAACATGAAATCTATAATTCGATGGATTATAAAGCGCCAATGTCATATTTTCATACATTTGAGGCAGAATATTGTATGGCTGCATTTAATTTTGCGAGTGAAACCGAAGCTATTACGTTAAGGTATGTTAATATGAATAAAATTAAAAAAAAAAGTGTTATTACAGGTGCATCAAGTTGATTATAAAAGAAATATGTGTGATATGGAATAATTTTGAAAAATAATTTTTTTCATATCTTAATTTTCTAAATAGAAATATACTTCTTGGGAAATTAAATGCTAAACGTCAAAGAAGACAAGAAAGGAGAGCGAAAGAAATGCAGGGTAGTAACACTATGCCTTGGAAGAATCAAAATAGCCTGTTACCCTTTACTGTCACATCAGGTTCGTCGAATAATTTGTCAAATGGCGCGCCTAATACAGTTGGCGTTAATAGAAGTGCTTCTAGTAGTTCAATGTACAAAACTAAAAAGAAAAAAAATGAACAAGATCTTAAGCGCAAGTTGACTAAGGATGATATTAGCCTTCCTTCTAATTTCAGGTACAGATTTTAATTTTATTTTGCGTCATATTATTAGTTATCTAAATGTATATGGATATTACTTTTAACTTTTTGCAGACATGTGGCACACTTAGGATGGGATGTTAATAACAAGGGTTTGGAACTAGATTCTGTAGATTCAGAATTGCAACAATTTTTTGACTATGCCGGTGTTTCGGAACATGAACTTCAAGATAAAGGCACTCGGAAGTTTATATATGATTTTATCGAAAGGAACGGAGGTATGAGTGCAGTGCAAGAGGATATTCGGCCATTGGTCAATGCAAAAAATAGTGATCAGCCTCCTGCACTGCCACAAAGGCAGGAATATCCCCCACCTGTTCCAGCACGAACAATACCTGTGAGTTTTATTCTGGTCTTTTATTTATTGGTCATGTTAGTTTATAACTTTATTAATATCCAATGTTGTTGTTCTTTACTGTATAAATAGTTTACAAATTTTATTAAACAAATTATAACTCAAAATAAATTAGCTAAGGACTCTCAATAATGCAAACAAAATGGCAAATAGAGAATGAGAGTATGAAACACGGTTATTGGTGTAAGTTATCAAATTAACGATATTTAATTTCAGTTAACAGTTCATGGACATTTGGCTCTGCCTTGAGTCATATTCAGCAATATAATACAATTAAATAATTGTCATCTTCTCATTTCTCAGTTGAGTAAAACGATGAGTGTTTCTAGATTCAGTGGTCAAGAAGCAGTTACATTAGGGGATTGGAATATAATTTGACTAACAATAAGTAAACATAATTATGAATAGCTATCTTTAGCTTTGATCACATTATAGACTATAATTACTTGGTCAAATTACATGCCAATCTTTTAAGGTAAATGAATTTTGTTCATTAAATTTAGAAGCATTCATCGTTTTAGCTCAACTGAGAATGTAAGAATTAATTATTATTTAATTGTATTATATTGCTGACAACGACTCAAGGCAGAGCTGAAATGTTCACATATTTTTAACAACAATTAAATATTATCAAGTTGATAAATAATAATTTTCTATGAAATTTATAATGAAGATCTGTGAATCAGCTTGAGTGTGATTTGACGAAAGAGCTGGCCCAACGGTTCCTATTGCTATGTGTAAAGTATAGGAAAGAACGATATAAATACTAACGACATTCAGTATCAGTTATGCGTAACCGTTGTTTTAAAAACTTCTTCCAATGCCTTGCCGTGCAGATAAACAATGGTAACTACTAGGCCGACTCTTCTCGCCCAGTTGCGCGAACACACGCTGATGCGCAGATCTTTATTAATCAATAATTCAAAATTTTATGTGGTTTGCAAAATGATACAGGACTTTTCTCTAGTTCAGTTTAATGAGATCTACCGGTATAGGAGCAAATAGATATTTTATACCAGACTTCATACGCGCGTTTAAATACATACACAAATGTATATATTTCTTCTTTTTATTACTTATTACTTACTGTGTTACTGCATCATTTATTGATATAATATTTATATTTGCATATTTTACATTAATAAATGTAAAATGCTGATATAACGTTAAAATATGAATATAATGTACATGTATATATAACAAAAATATGTACTGTTTCAGCATCAAACACGCATTGCTCCACCTTTACCTCCAAATCGGTTTAATGCATCTCCTGCATTATCAAGTGTGCCATCTAGCCTACCTCCAAGTGCACCTCTAAATGCTTCTCCCAATAATCCACCAGTACACAGAACCTTACCCTCAAGACCACCTCCACCAACTATAACATCAGCACCGGTTCTTCCTCCACCTCCTCCTCCACCTCCACCTTCAACTCCTTTGAAAATCAATACAAACATTCCCACACCTCCACCTCCACCACCTTTACCGGACTTGAGTAGCATCAACAGCACAACAACGAACACAAATGTTACTAATAACAATAATGAGGAATCAGTCGCTGATCTTAGACCGATGCTCATGGAATCTATTAGAAGCGGTACAATTTTAAAGGTATGTATGAGCATGAGTGGTCCATGATGATATTTTTGACTGAGAGTCAATTTGTTTTTGCGACCAAAAATTTATCAATTTTTGTTAGAGTTTTAGTTCTTATTAAACTACATAACTATGATAGAAAAATCTTTCTAATTTTTTGGATTTTCTATTTTTTAATTCATTGCAGAATTGCTATACACGCAATATGTGATACTATGTATATATACTATGTATAATGTATACTTTTAGTTAGCAGTTAAGTGTGTAATCATAATAATTTTTTAATTTTAAAAGGCTTAATCAAATCTAATAACTGATGAAGATTTCGCGAAGTCACAAACGTTTCGTTACTTTTATTCAACTTGATGTAATAAACCACATATCTAGACTTACATGTATCTTTATCTGAACAAATATACAAATCTTTCAAATTAATTTCTTGAAAAAAAAGGAATTAAACAATCTCAATCTTAGTTTTAATTGTATTGGAAACATAATTTGATAAATATTTTACTTTATAGAAAGTTGATAAGGCAGAAATAAAACCACCATTAGTGGTTGAAGATTCAAGAGGAGAATTGCTACGACAGATACGTGAAGGCATAGAATTGAAACCCGTTCGAAATGAAGCAAAATCTAACACGTTGCCTGCACCTCGTGGTGGTTTGGCCGACGCATTATCTAGAGCTCTAGCTGAACGATCTCGTGCAATTCATAGTGAAAGCGAAGAATCCACTAGCGATACCACCGATGATGAATGGGATGACTAAATCAGGTAAGTTAATTTGTGCTATATATTTTAATCATATGCAAGTCTACTGTGTGTCACTTTTACTGTATTTATTTTTTATATTAAAAAACCTTAATAATTCTTTCAGATAAAAAGTTAATTAAAAGACTATAACATACTACTGTGATAAATTTATTTATCACAGATATTATTGATAGATTAACAAAGTTATGTGCGAATGAATTAAGTTTTAATGTCATGAAAAGAATAAAAATTAGATAAAAATACTTAAAAGGAGTTATTTAGATAAAATTGAAAATAAAAGCATTATACAAAGAATAGGGCAGGTAAGGGCAAATTATTGCTATTCTAATATTTTACAAGAAGAAAGTTACAATGTATTTGAGTAAAATTTGAAGTAGTTTTTTTGCACAAAAGTTGCTTTGTGGATTATCTATGCAATCACTAAATTTAAATACAATACAATAACATCATTCTTTAACCAATATGGAGAAATTGCTAGACGATGCAACTGGCAAATTTTAACTAGATAATATTTTAACTAGAGAAATTTATTGCGAAAAGTATCTCAGCCTTTGAACCTCGACTTCCCTTACACTCTAGGCTGGCATCTCACCAATTCGACCACTACTGCAAAGCTGAGCCTCAATTTCTCTAAGAAATTTCTCTAGTTAGAATTTGCCAGTTGCGTCGTTTAGCAATTTTTCTACATTGATTAATTGTGTACTGGCGTCAATTAATTCTTCATTCTTGTTATTTTATATAAATGTTATAATAATTATAAAATTATCTGGTATTTGTAGAAAAACTAAAAGTAATAGTAAAAATTTTGCCCTCATTTGTCCTGTCTATGTAACTGATAAATATCGATCAAACGTAAAAATAAGTAGTGATTTTAACTGTTTTACATTTGATCGTAAATTATTATCATATATGTATATGTGTATTATCATACATATATGTATATATGCATAATACATACGTATATGCATGCATATGCAAATGCTTGTATATTTACAGCATGAAATAATGAATTTAAAGCATTTAATTTTTTAAACTAAATATTTTAGCAAACAAGCTCTTTACAAAATGTATCTTGTTTTAAGGGGTTGGTGACTTAAAGTTGATGTCAAATCTTTGTATTTTTTCACATGGAGTTGAGAATGTATATGTATATATTTTTATATAAATCAATTTTGCTTGGTATGTTGCATATAAAAGTATAAACGTAATCTCATCAATAATTTACGATATGTGTACTTTATATTCTATAATATTTTTATTTGCTTTCCGATGATTTTATTTTAATACTTTTATATACAATTTAATAAAAGTGATTGATATAAATAAAACAGTTTTATTTTGTGCTTAAAAGTATTAAGAAGAGTAAGCAATTACTTTGATTAATGTTTTATATTTTAGGTCAAAATAAAATAAAATGTGAAAATTTCACATAGATATTTTACTTGTGATTTGATTTTTTATTTTGTGCATATTTTTATATAGTAAATATCATGATAGATTGAATTATAAAATATTGCAATTTTATATAGTTTTATTTAAAAAGTAAATGCTTAAAAGACATCTTTTAAAATAATATCTTAGAAATGTCTTTTAGATGTCTTTAAGATTTTACCAAAAGATGTTAGAAATTTTTTCACTTATTAAACAACACTAGTTCTTCTTTCATATCTTTTCTTCTTCTTAACTTATTTCCGTATCATTAGTTTTTCTTTTGCAATATCTAAAAGTAATCTAAAATAAACGCGTATTGTATTATCATTGCATATTATTTTAATGATATGATACAATTTATCTTTTTATTCTATAAAAATGATTGACATGCAAAGATGTAATAACATTCCTCATCTATATTGACATATAACAATGATACACTATGTGAATACACAAGTCTGTGTCTGTCTTTAACTCTACATTACTCTTGGAATATAAAATATACCTCAATCTTAACAATATATAAAATTTACAATACAGAATAAAATACAGAATAATGCAACTAAATTTTCTAGTTCATTAAAAAACAATTCAACTGAAATATAATTTAAAGTATTTTACAGTTGGGCCGTCTCAATGCAGTGGTAACAATATTATGTTAGTCTGTTTCATCATTATCAGAACAGGCACGCAGTGTTGCCAATTTCAGGGATTTACAATTAAAATCTTTCTTTGCACTTATTCGCAATTTCATCAAAATCTTTTAATAATTTTTTGTTGCTTAACATAAACTATTAACTATAACTTTATCTTATATCTATTATATGAAAGAATTTTGTACCTTTCAGAAAGAAAAATTAAAAATTAGTCACTATTCGCATACTTGAAGATTTGGCAGTTTATTTTAAGTGTGCTATTCTACTGATAAAGATTTTATTAAATATTACTTTTGATGATTTATTTAAACTGTCTGGCAATTGCTTTATATTTTAATCAATTATTACAATAATCTTTATAACCCACTCATTATTTAATTGTATTTTATTATTTACATTATTGATACAACATATACAAATTATTAATTATATTTATATTTTATATTAATATTATTTAACACTCCTATAATCAAATACTATATATTTTAATTTTTACATTTCATTATTAAGAAAACATTTTTCTAGCTACTCCTTTTTGGATTAATGGATATTATGCATATGTAGCTTTATATTAGGATAGATAATAAACACTTTAGATAGGATAGATAATTAATTTTGTTTTTATTCTAGATTATCAAAGTAGATTGATAGTTTGAATAATTCTAGATTATTTCAAATTGTGTTCTTTTAAATATACATATGTGTTTTATTCTTATCTCTGATATAGATTTCGCATATGGAAGTTCACAAAGAGAAGCCAGAGGGACTATGCAAGGCATCAAATATACTTTTGCTGCTTGGAGAGAAATCCTAGTCACAAGACAAAATGTTATAGTTTATTGTACTTTATTCCCAACTTCACATATTAGTCAAACTAACTCCACATTTTTTTAACACTTACATTATATATTGTTTGACTGGTGTATTTAATTTACAGAAATTGTCAGGCCGAATATACTATTATATTATAATAGAATTAACTGAAAGGGTATTTATATTATTCATTATTAGAAATTATAATAATATAAAATAATAATTAAGTTTATATTGTTGATAAATAAATAAGAATATAAAATTACAAAAAAATTTCAAGTTGCACATACGCATAAATAAAGAATACAATTAATGATGCATTTAAAGATGTAACAAATGTAGTTTCTGCAAATATGATTCAATAATATGTTTTTTAAGTACATTATTTACCGTACATTACATTATTTGACATAATATTATTGAGGACAATCTTAATTTATATTTCTTTTTGTAGATTATAATATAAAATATATTACTTTTGCAAAATATATTCTTTATGATGTTTTTGTAAATGTTATGATAAATTAAAAAGTACATTCTAATAATTTTAGGAGCAAATTAAAAAATTTTATTCAATTAAATGGGAATAATTAAAGAGAACTTTATGTTCTGTACGTGAGTTTGATAATTAAACTAAATTTTATTTTAGCATGTAAAAATTATGAGTTATTTATTTATAAGATTAAAATTTTATTATTAATACATATTCGTAAGATTAAGTTATGAAATATAATAATGTAGTATTTAAGTTTTTACTAAGGAAGTTTAACTCTTATCTATTAGTTAAAGAATACCTTGGTAAATTTTGATAAGATATTCTTATAAGATTTTGTATAATTTATTATTGTATAATTTTTATTGTAATTTTATTCATTTTGATTTAAAAATGATTTTAATTTACCATTAAACATGTAAAAAAGTATTTCATATATAAAACTAGTGTATTATTTAAGTAACATTCTTATATTGGTTAGATTAATTATAGATTGATTGAAATAAAATTAAAAATTTATAAGATACATATAACGGTATATTAGTATAATAACATAAAGATATGTATAAAATAATCTTTATTTGAAGTATTTTGCTTGATTTCTGATTAAAAAGTTTAAGAAAAATTAAAATAAATATTACATAAGAACATTGCTTTACATATTATTGAGATTGGAAGCATGACTCAATAATTTTTACAAATGAGCTTTAGTAACGTCGACAAATACTAATTCTAGTCGTTCAATTTGTTTTTCTATTGTAATCACATGTTACGATTAAAAAATTATAAAATCAATTATATTGGAATTAAAAGTAACAGACGTGCGTGAAACTATTTTTTAACAAATTTATAAATTTAAAACTACAAGTTTGACAAATCAATATTATATAGTTTTGTAGTTAAGAATTACAATAAAATTAACATATACTTGCTAAAAGTACCAATTAATATTTGTTCTTCCGTTTCTATAAACCACTAAGTTGTGGTTTCCTGTTTCCAAGGAAGTACGATAAGGTTTATCATCTTTGCTTCAGTTTAAATTCTTTCATTATGGTTCATGTATCGCATTGTCTAATAGTTAATCGGACTGGAAGTACATGTCAAAGTATGTCGTGAGTATATGAGCAACATTAAAATTTTATATTTTTAAACTTGCTAACAGCATGTAAATTACATTTCTGTCAACAACATTATATATGTAACCGTGGGTTCAATGACTCTGAAACTGAATTAAATATGTCGATAATTATCATTTTTATCACATTTCCATTTAGGTGAAAGTGCGTCTATCCGTTGGAATTTGCTTGTTACTTTAATATCAACTTGAATAGAAATTTTTAATTATTTGTATTGCAATATATTTGCTCGTAAGGCACGCAGATTTATAATAAAGACACTTTCTTGATGTAATTAAAAGTCAATATATTGATCAAGTCTATGAACTCGATTGTCCGCGTTCGAGATCTGATAATCTCAAGTACCTCGCAGGTACTCGTAATCGTTTGCGTTTAGTAACATGATCCGTTTTGCTGTTAGTGTGTGACTACCGTATGACTTGGCACAAAACGCTGTCGTATTTTTTATCATATTATATACGTGGTATCACTGCTCCTAAGACAAAGCATCGCAAATCGTAGATACGCGCATCCATTGTGTTGTTATCAAAACGTCAGTGCACAGTGGCAAGGAATAGTGAGCACGATACGAAAGTCTGTATTCGATGTTGATATAATGCAAACGAAAACTAGGTATATTAATTGTTTAGAAAACAAATATGTGTTTTAAACTTTTTCCAAATTTATCATTGACTGTCTTAATATACAATCTAAGATAAGATTGTAAATATGTTATGCTTACTGAAGTGTACGTGCGCTCGCATGAACACATTCGTAAGCGCGTACACAATTAATTATTAAAAAAAAACTCGATTTTTTAAATTTATATGAATTACATAATGTTAATGCAATTTACAGTTTCTATTTTTTACTAGAGCCAATTTGTCATTTAGCACAAGTTTTAATTAATCAATTTTAGAATTGATTTCAAATAAAAATTTTACAAAATTTTCTTTAAAATTAACTAAAAAATATTATAATCTTTTCAGTTTTTTGAAATTTAATTCGTTCAGAGTCTGTTTTTAATCAAGCGATGCAGTGTTCAGTAACGACGCTTGATGCCAACCCAGTAAACACCAACTAATAGTTACATAAAATCAATATTATAATTTCCTATTCAGCAATGTAACTGTCATGTATAACATATGTTATATTACCTACATGTATATTGTTGAGTGAGAAATTATTAATATTGATGTTATGTAACTGTTAGTTGGTATTTACTAGGAAGCATAAGCGACTAACTTCGTGCTAGGTCACTGCACATATATTGAGGTGCAACTAAACTTATCTAAAATTCTTACGTCAAACAAGCTTTCGCGAGTTAAATCTGCAAATATCTTGGAAAATAGATCAACAGTCTAAAATATTTTTTTTACAAAAACGTTTCTTAATTTCAGTCCTCACACACAAACACATACACAAAACGATTGTATTTCTCAAGAACTTTTCACAATGTCGACAGTTAAATATAACGTATACTGTAACACAGTAAAATTCTACAATAGGCTTGTTTTCTGTTCCTACACTAGTGAACTAGTGCAATAAATTGGAGTAAGACAAGCATATTTTTTCTCATTCTAGCTTACTGCACTAGTTCACCAGTGCAGGAACAGAAAACAAACCCAATGTATGTGAACGTTGCAGTACATGCACGCTAGTAATAATTTCCGAAGATACAGATAAAACAGACCAGCAAAGAGGGAGCAAGAAAGAAAAAGAAAGTGGAAAATGGAAAAGCCCAACGAAGAGCGAGTGAGAGAGAGAGAGAGAGAGGGGGGGGATCAAAGATACGTACAACGAAAAATATCTATTGTTGTGAATATATAGATATGTATACAGTTAGTGCAATTTTTCATAATGTGGATAACAGCAGATAGCTAATAATTAAACTTTGTAGAAATACAGTATGTATTTTAAAGGATATTAATAAATGATTTAAAAATAAAAAAAATATAGACGTAACGTAATATAGTACTAAATGCTAGGAATGCATGCATATTTTTTGCAAAACAAATATAATGACATTCGTACTAAAAATATTGGGTATGTTTTATGACTGCTTTTCACGATACAAAAATTTTAATCTTGTTAAAAAACTGTACACAGGTGAAAAATTCCATTCCAAGTATATATATATACCTGCATAAAAAATATTTAAAAGTGTACAATCGAAAACTGTCCAAAGTGGATATGCAATCAGTCCAATATAACCGAGTGATGTTAAAACAAACCTAAATCGTAGAAACACTTTTGAAGATACTATAACATACGTTTAATCAATAGAATTTTGTTTTATTTGTCTCTAAGTGAGAAAACTGTATTATTTGATGCAAATTTGCAAATTTGAAAATGTGTAAAACGGATTTTAAATAAAAATAAATCATCAATGTTACCGTGACCGGGTTGCATTTAATCAAGTCTCCAAAGATTATTATATGTATATTATTATGAATATATAAAAGAGAAACAATTAATAATTAATATTTCATTAGTGCTTCAATAAAATTGTATCCTATGTATATTTAAATATTATCTACTAAACTTATATTTGTTTCATTATACATATATTTATCATTGCATATGAAGATTTATATTATTGCAGATAATATTTAACATTAAAATTTGTGATTTATTGTTGAGATATAAAAAGTGAATGTGTTTGTAGAAAATGTGTATATTATTATGCGATCCGACATGTGAAGCTTTGTTTTGTCCCAGTAATACTTAGTTAATTAGATCGATTTCATGTTTACAATATAGTTTTAAACACTTAATTTTATATTTAATAATGCATTCTTGAAAATGTTTATCACATACTCAGCGTACTTTTTTACTTTGTCTTTTTACGAGATTATTTATAATTCGAACATTATTGATGCTGATTTGATATTTCCATCAAATAAAAATTGCCCTTAAATTAATTAAACTATTATTAAAAAAATAATGCTTATGAAAGACAACGTCCTTTATGTGAGTGGCATGCGAGGGACAGAGGAAAGTGCACGCGCTATCAAAAGCATGAAATACTCTCGACGTACTCGTATATTCAACTGATTGCACCACACACTTTCTTTGTTAATAGAAATCTTGTATCTCCGCAGTTCGGAATACAATCAGTTCGGAATAGAGACGGGTAAATTGATGTACGGAAAATCGCGGAGGAGAAAAAATACATCGCGACGGAAAAATGAACGACAGGCCCACTTCGACCAAAATAGAGGTAGAAGGTGTTGTGCTAGGCGATTCACCGTATGCACCTACTACAGAGGAAGTGCAAGAGAATATTGTGGTGAAAGAACCAGTGGCTGCCATGGATACAACAGACAAGAAAGGCCAAAATTATAACACGAGACAAGCTAACAGCTATGCAGCTAAGAAAACTGTGGCGCAGGGTATGATGGACGTTGCACTCATAACAGCTAATGCGAATCAACTGAGATATCTCATTGAATATCAACGAAGCAGCCCGACGTTTTATCTTATTATGATTTTGATTATCATCAGTCTCTTATTACAGGTAATACCCTGCCAAATATATTTATTAATAAGTAAAAATAATTTAATGACACAATCACATTAATGGTATACCATAGTAGGACCACTTTCGTAATAATTGTGAACTATTATAATGATTTTAGATCGCCGTTGGGATTAGTTTGATTTTCAAAGGCCGTTTTGACATCAAAGGCATGTCAAAATCTCCCAGTGCACAAAGAATCAATAATTACGTCGTAGTGGGAGTCTTTCTCATTACGATTATTAATGTATTTATAGCTGCATTCAGTATAACCGCTCCCGACACACAACCACTTTCAGCCTTGACTTCTGCCAATAGGGCGTAAACACCTCAACATGTAATTTATATATTGAGCTTACAATATTGTATTTTATTACTGCTGTTATCGTATTCATAAAAAGTATAATAAATATGCAACTGTTGATTTATAAATTGGATTATAAAGTGATGTACCCAACAGTAAGTAGTCCAAGATTCGTTTTTCACTCCTGCACTGTCTGTTATTATTATTTAATGTGTGATGTTTAAAACACATATGTGTTATTAATATTAGTCTAATTATAAATGTGGATATGTGTATAACGCGAAAGAACACGCGCAAGTACAGTGGATACTTCAGACAAAACTGTATTATATGGAGATATTATTTTATCTGACAGTTATGCAATTTTTAGATTTTTTTAAACTTTACACTTTCGACGGATGCTCTTTTTAGAATTCATTTCGAACAGTTATAAATGCTATTCTGGTCACGAAATGTACATACAAGATTAAAAAATGCTGCGACAGTGATCACTATAATGGAAAAACAAACGATCGTCACTTATTTAGGAAACTGTTCGACACAGTTATAATATGTTTACCTCTATATTATTTGTCTTATGTCCACTTCTACCAATATAGATTAACTTTAAGCTCGGTTTAATCTCACTTTTATCTTTCTTTTATTCTTAGAGTTTCAAGTGAAGTGAGATAAAAAGTCAGTTAAACCGAGATAAGAGTTAATTTACATTGGTAGAAATAGACATTTAGGGCCGGTTGTTCCAACTTTTGGAACAACAGATTTGATAAGATAACTAATTATACATCTATCGTTGTCTAATTTGTGAGCAACAAAAATAGCACTCAATAAATATATGTGCTTGTTTTTTATTTTTATCATTTCTTTTGTGGCTGTGCTACCTATAATATCGCAATATACGTACACTAGGAATCGCTGATGCCTTCCCATATCAATCTAAGCACAGGTAAACCACATATACATTTTCCATGTATATGCAAAATGTATAAATGTGTCGATATGTGCACAAATTCACGTGGGAAGGCATCGGTGATTCCTAGTGTACATATTATACGTACGGAATCACCGATGCCTTCCCACATGAATTTGTGCACATATCGACACATTTATACACTTTGCATATTATATACATACATGGAAAATGCATATGCCTACCTGTGCCTAAATTCATATGGTAAGGCATCAGTGATTCCTAGCGTACGTACAATACATACATGGGGTTTGTTTTCTGTTCCTGCACTGGTGAACTAGTGCAGTAAGCTAGAATGAGAAAAAATATGCTTGTCTTACTCCAATTTATTGCACTAGTTCACTAGTGTAGGAACAGAAAACAAGCCTATTGTTAGAGCATTTTAAAAATCATCAGTGCTGCCATAATAAAATAATCAAAAGTGCATATAGCCTTGTGTCCACGAACTGTGTCCAAGTTTTAGTTTCGAGAAATATGTAGCCAATCAATTTTTACGGAAAATAATTGGTTATACATTTTTCAGAATTAGAACTTGGACACAATTCTCGGATTGTGGGTACAAGGCTTTAGAAGATTATATGTATATTCTTACTAGTCCCTATCCTAATCAGTAAATATTATAAATAATGTTATATTTACACAATGAATTTATTTTTATTTTACTTATCTTTAAAGTGTTTCTAAAATTGATTTTTTAAGTAACCAAAAATAATATTATTTTGGCTGTGTTCCAAAATTCACTGCCACTGTTGAAAATTTTCGAGACTCTTAAAAAATTTTATGTGGAAAAGGTCACCAGTTAACATGTTATTAATTATTACTTAACAAGTATAGTAATTATATTTTTATCGTCTTATGTGAAATGCTGAAATAAAATAACGATTATATATTCTCTTACGAAGATACTATCCTATCGATTATTTTGTAATGTGTGAGTGTACTCGGTGTATGAGAGTGCCTTGTTGTCATAGTGACTAGTCAATAATTTGAAATCGCAATATCCAGAGGCATGGAAGCATTCCCTCAGCCATCATATTAATACGGTCGTATGAAAACCATTTGCGATTACGCTTATTAGATAATTGAAAAATTTGAAAAAAATGTTTGCAAGTTCTTAAATGAAAAAGTAAATTTTAAGGAACTAATAAATCAGCTTGCACACAATATTCATCGCATAAAAGACCAGGCGATTTATTTGCATATATTATTCGACAAGTTTTAATTTTGCTGATACATCATGATGGATATGGAGATGAATGCTGACTTGGACGGTGTAAGTAATGATTTATAAAATATGTCTAATTACTCACTTATTGTTCAATTCTTTGTAGCATATTTTTATGTGACTGAAAAGAGGTTTTATAAAATAAAAATCTTCCTTTATAACAAAAGCAGAAAAAGTTGAATACTGTCACTTGTGAAAATCTATTTTATCTTGAATTTTGTATCGGGTTGTAAAATTACTTGAGATGTGATGATTATTCATAACACAATACTCCGTAATGACAATAAAACTTTCAGGATGACGGAAGCGAAAGCAGTCAACCGTCTTCAGAGGGAAGTTCTGCAAGTAGCACATTTTGTACTTTGGAGAAAGATTATGCAAGGGTAAGAGCTTTTGTTTCTGAAAATTATTAAAATTTTTTCTTATTGCATTTACTCAATTCTATCACGTTAATCCGGCCACTCCTTGTATAAAGATGTGCTGGATTTGCGATAATTGCGGATTACTGAGACTGCATAAAATTTTTATAGCAATTCATCAGAGTTTCAGTAGTTCTTCATTCTATTTAGGGTAACCAAGTGTATAGAATATATATATATATAATTAGAATATATAATTTATAAACATTATATACACAATAAACGTCACTTACTGCTTACGTGTGGCTGATGTTTGGCCACTTGAGCCATTCCTCTCGCCAAAATTTAGAAAACTTAATCACGACATTGTTGACATAGTTATGCGACATGTTACACATAGTTTATATTGTTTATGCATAGGTGTAGACTATTATAGTTTACGGATAAATGCCCAGCCCTGAATTATATCCTTATTTATTTATAGATTACGAATGAAATGAGCTCTAATGAGGCATTGGCTCCTTTTAAAGATGAATACGAGAGACTTTATGAATCCTTGTACAAAGCGCACAGAAGTGAGAAGGAACTATCAGGACAATGCACATTACTCAAGGTAAACTTGAATTGCAGCAAATTGCACACAAAAACCAAATTTCTCTCTCTCTCTCTCTCTCTTCAAAATTTATCTTACGGTACTCGAAAATGCTTTTCCAGAATGAAATTGTAGATAATACATACAAAATATACGAACTGAAAAACACAGTGGAGGCTTACGAGGACGAAATAACACGATTGAAAGAAGAAGTCACTAAAATGACGAAGCTGGCTGATGCGGCACACACACGCGAGCAAAATGCACAGGAAGTAATTGGAAATTTGCGGCTAAATATTACAAAATTGGGTCTGGAGATCGAGGAAAAGAACAAACAACTAGTAGTAGAAAAGGAGTGAGTATCCTTGTACGAAGAAGACTTTGCACTCCGAATTATATTTCATCTATTGGTTTGGACTTGAAAAAATGTCGAGTGAGACTCGACAAAGGAGCTCCTGAGACAAAATCTGATATCGAGTCACACTCGACATAGGAGTGCAAAGGGTTAAAAGAATTTGCGAGAGAATGGAATTGTAATGTAAATGTAACATTCTACATAACAATTCTTGCACGCAAATTTTGCTCGTCTTATGAACGCAAATTTGTACAAGATTTACCTGAGTTTTGCTCGTGAGATATGTTTAGTCTGTGCTTTCTGCGTGCCATGCAAGTGGATTAGCTCATGTATTAACGTATAATTTTGCGCGCAAATATCTAACAACTTATGTACAAAAATGGCTCAACGTAAACAAAATCCTATCCCAGTATGTCGTCACAGTGCTAGATATTTACGCGCAAATGTTTTCCGAGATAGGATGGATTTAGTCCAAATTGTTGGACAATTGGACAATTTAGATTCAAAGTAGATTTTCATTTTGTCTTTGTTCTGTTTTTCTTTTTTCCTCATACTAAGTAATCTAATTAATTTGCATATCATCAAGGTAGTCAAATTTGCCACAAATAAATTTTGCAAGGTGTTAGAAATTTCATTGGTAGCATATATTAGATAAAAAATATATTAGACTCTAATTAGATATGCTAACAGGATACCATAGCAGATTGTTTGCAATCAAAAGAGGATTATATGTTTAACGTCATTTTATATATTAAGATGTATAGAAATATTGTTGTCTAATAGTTTAAAATAAGCAGTCAACAATATATGTACTTAAAGAAAAATTTAGATCAACATTTTAGTTACTTTCAACATATTTTTGATTAAAAGCTTTATAATTATAGCACCACCATTAGCAAGAAAAAGGAGAATCTATTGAAAGAAAGAGAGATACTTATTGGCGAAATGGAGACTATGCGGCAACGTATGAAAAACATGACGATTTATACGCAAGAGCTTGAAAAGAAAAGTAGTGAGATTGAACAGCGAATGACAGACATGCAGGATATGATCGGCATGCAGCTGAACGAAATCTCGCGAGAAAAAAGAAGTCGAGAGAGGGCTGAAACGGAAGTGCAACAACTTCAGGAAGAACTCGTCTTAAAGAAAAACGAACTTGAGGTAAAATGCTCGCATGCGTGCATTATGCAACTATAGTACAAATATTTGGTTGTCTGAATGATCATGGTTTTATTCTGATCAACTTTGCTGCCAATTTGCTAGCGTACTGCTAATATTTTATTTATTGCGTGTAGACTGCAAACGCATCTATTCAAGCAAGTGCGAATAACATAATGAGATTAGAGAGTTTAATAAGAGATCAAAAAATAACAGATGAAAAGAAGCAAAAGGAGATGAGCAAACTTAAGGTGAAAAATATAAATTTGCAAACAGATTTTGATAATGCAACCGCCGAGGTTGAAAAACTAGAAAAACAACTTTCTGACAAAGAGAAGCAGATGAGAAACATGAAGTACCAGCTTAACAGGTAAAAGCAACTCACACATGTTATAGAAATATTAATTACTTATAACAATAATTCCTTATGCAATTAGGCATTATAAATGGCACATTTTTTAGAACAAGAGAGGACAGTGCTAAATACAAGCATGAAAAAGACCTGATAGACAAACAATTGATGAAAGCAGAATCGGAACAATCCAGACTGGGGCGTGAATTAAAGCAAGCTCTGATCAATGTCAGGAATGCCGAACATGTTGTTCAAACTTGTCGAAAGGAACAACTCGAGGACAAGCAACGTGTCGAAATTCTGTTGCGAGAGAAGGACACCATCGCCCGTAACAAGGAAACCGCTTACAAGCGGATCAAACGATTGAATCACGAGCTGTTGCTGTGCGAACAAGGCAGGAAGAAGATCGAACAGGAACTGGACACGCAGACCAAAACCATAGATGAAATGAAAAATCAAATAGAAGTTGTAGAGAAAGAAAGGGATAGATATAGTTCGACGGTACACGGTTTAGAAAAACAGGTGAAGCATAAAATGTTTATATAAAAAACCAGATATACCCGGATAGCCAAATTTGCTAGAATAGATTTCGTCAAATGTCCACTACAAACTTTGAAGGCAAAAAGACTGCAGATTGTATACAGGAACTGATATGTATACGACCTGTTGTCAGCATGTCAGCAGAAATACAACAAAATCTGCTCACATAACTGGACCTGCTCGGTTTCTGTCGACAATCTGTTGATAGCGTATGTAACTTACTAAATAAAATAATTTAATTCTATCAAGAGAAATTGTAACTATCAAAAGAAATTTTTAATTTTAAATGTGCACAAGCATTGCAATTATATCTAATAATGAAATACAATTGAAGAAAATTTATCGTTGAGAACATGTGATACAACTAAGAGCATGTATACATGTAGTAGCTTAATTAATGGAAAGAATAATTTTTATTACAATTTTCTCTTATGGCAAGCATAACATTTATGTAGATAATCAATTTTTTAGGAAATTGTTGGAATGAAAAATAATACTTTTAATTGAGTTCTGCTACTTTTTATGGCTGTATCAACATAGAAATCTTTCTTGGAAATTTTTCATATTGTATATCTCATAATTTATATAAATTTGAATGGGCTAGTCTTTTACTCTGTGTTCATAGTTTTTACTTTTATATGATCCGCATGTACATTAAATATTATTTAATATTCATAAACTTAAGGACCCCCAAATTCATAAACTAAATTTTGAAAAATGAATACACAAAGCAAAATAAAGTAAACTGCAAAATTGATTTACAACACATTGACAGCTAGAGAATTACATAAGCGAGACCAAGCGAAAGCAAACAGAGATATTCGATTACAAGAAGCGTTTAGCAGACACCGAGATAAAGTACCGTCAACATCAAAGCGTACTTGAAGCCATCCGTATGGAGCGGAATTTGTGTAACAGAAATCTGGTTGAAGCACAAGAAGAGATACGAGATTTAAAGAGCAAGTTAAAGATTACAAGCCAGCAGATTGAGCAATTGAAGGAAGACATTGCGATGAAGGAGGCTAATCTTGTCAAGGAGGAATTCCGTAAGCTATTTCAATTTAATACATAAAATTCTCTAACAATTGGTTTATTTTAACTTATAATTATCAGATATGCAAATTAATTCGGTGCCTTTAAGGCCTACAGTGGGTAAACAAATTAAAAAATCCTTTACTTTGTAGTGTTAGGAAGGGCTGAAAAGGAGAAAGAAGAACTTAAGATTGATCTACGAGTTTCTCGCATGGAGATATCTAACTTGCGGCAACAAATTGAAGAAGCAAAGAAGAAAGAAAAGGGTCTTAGGCAGGCTATGCAACAGGCAGACATAGATATTGGACGTCGTAAGAAAGATATTGATAATGTTATGAACGAGCGTGACATACTCGGTACACAATTGGTTCGAAGAAATGATGAACTTGGCCTCCAATATAGTAGAATAAAGGTTTCATTCTTACATCTGTTACAGAGATATCATTACTGCTTACTGTCTTCGAAAATATAACGCATTTGTTTATCTCTAGTTAAGTTTGAATTGATTCGTGTATCTCAAGTATTTGATTGAAAATTACGTAATTCAATGAGTGACACTAAATTTCAATGTTCAGTTAATGAGTTGGGAATAATGTTGAAATTTAAATTTTCTAATGACTAAAAAAAATAAAAGAGATATACAGGATGTCTCATTTTAAATGATCCACGCAAATATTTCCAAAAATATCATTTAAAATAAGACACCCCGTATATATCTTTGATACATTAATCAAAGAAAGAGTAATGAAGCTTATTAAACCGAATAGTTTAATGCAACATAATTTACTACAAATAAACTAGTATTTCGGGATTTACGTGTATATTTATAGGTGTATATGTGTTATAGGTCTTGAATAGAACATTGCAATGTGGAGAAATACAGTATAATCAAAGACTAGAAGACATTCGATTGCTCAAGTTTGAGGTAAAAAGACTTAGAACTGAGAAATTGTTACTCTCAAAAAATGTTTTAAATGTTAGCGATTTACGCCAAGAAGTTTTCTATCTAAATCGCAACCTGGCCAAAGAGAAACTTAAAATTACCGCACTCGAGGAAGAAATTCAAACTCCATTGAATATACATAGATGGCGAAAGCTCGAGGTAAGTTCACTTTTCGAAAATTGGAATTTAAAGATTTGCCAATTAGAGGCCAAAAAGTATATCAATTTATGAATTTTAAATTTCCTATGATAATTTCAAATTTTATATAAGTAAGTTTTTTGATAAACAGAAATATAATTTAAATAGACAATAATGTGATAAAGAATATCATAATGCAAAATAATCTTATAGTGAACTTGAAAACACAAATGAAGAGGTTGACTTATGTAATAATTGCTGTAACTTTTCTAGAATTTATCTGAGATTAACAAATAAAATCGATTCGCAAAGTTGATTCATAAAGAAAAAATATTACTTTCGTAGCCAATTAAAAAAATTAGTATTTTACAAAATGGTAATTGATTAAAAAGTTAAAAATTTTTTACTGTTAGAGTTAGTTACGAATAATTTATAGTTATCTTTGGGTCCAATTACATTTTTACAGTTGTTTTAACAATATATGTAAATTTTGGAAACGGAGGTTCTAAATATTATTACTATCCATACTCGTTTATATGTATTACATTAAAATTTGAAAATTTTTGTCTTGAGAAACGTGAAAAGGTTATTATTAATTGTGAGTACAGAAAAATGATACAAATATTTTCTCACAGAGAAACATAGGGAGGCATGTTGCAAATCAAACATAGTGCAAATTTCCGGATTCAGGCTATTGTATTAAACCAATATATTATAACAGGGTTTGTCAATCCATTAGGGCTCAAATAAAGAATGCAGCACCCTTCTTTCCTCTTAATAAATTCTAATTAATGATAACATTTCTTTACACTTAATTCATTACACGTTAACTTGCAAACATGAAATTTTAATTTTCTTATATAAATTTTTTATACATTAAATAGTATTAATTAATGATACATTATACAGGGTGTACTAAAATCACCGGTTATCCTTTTAATCGCAGATTCCTTAGAAAATTTCAAGAGGAAAATTCTAATAAAAAAATGTCGCTATGATAGTTTTTAAATAATAAGCGATTATATTTCACAAATGACAGGTCTGAGATTTCGCGCGCTCAGGCACGGCGACATGACGAGTGATAAAAGTGTTCCTATGTGTTTCGCGAGCGAGCGAGAACCAAAGTCACCATTTAACGGGACAGAAAATATTTGGGACGACGATGATCCGGTTATTTTGAAAACTTGAGGATAAAGAGAGGCAGGAGACTAGATTGAATCTAACTGAAAATTCCAAGTTCACTCAGAATATCGGAGATCGACTAAAGTGAAGGATATCAGTCTGATCAAGATGCTCATCATAGTGAACCCCTCCCTTTTATTAATAAGACGTTACACAAAGTTAACAAAAGGAATGGTTAAAGATAACAAGAGGAACAATTAATTCGAGAATGAATCGTTAAGTCTGTGTGAAAGTTGTCACTATGCTAAAAAGGGCGATATTCGTAGGAACACCTTTATCACTTGTCGTGTCGCCGTACCTGAGCGCGCGAAATCTCAGGCCTGTCATTTGTGAAATGTAATCGCTTATTATTTAAAAACTATTATAGCCTCGACATTTTTGTATTAGAATTTTTGTCTTGAAAGTTTCTAAAGAATTTATGATTAAGAGATGATATCCGGTGGTTTTAGTACACCCTGTATTAATGATTCTATAATTAAATTTTAATTATTAGATACATTTGTATAAACTAATTATATTAATGTATATAATTTTCTCACTATAATTTTTAATGCCGAATAAATTGTTGACATTTATCAAATATTAATTTTATTATAGACTTGCTTTCTCTATAATAGGGCACAGATCCTCCTGCATTTGAACTTATTAAGAAAGTGCAGATTCTGCAAAAACGCATTTTACAACTATCTTTTGACATGCTCGATAAAGATAGGAAACTAAAGGATACTGAGAAACTATACATGAATCTCCGTGAGGTTTTGTCGAAGCAATCAAATTCGCAATTAACGACGAACTTGAATATGGTGCAAAATTTCTTACGTAAAAGAGGAGAGAAAATCAAAGTAAGTATTGAAACTTGAACAACCTAAAAATTCCTATAAATCAGAAACTTTGCAGAAATAAAGTATGTATATTTCTAATCACATAGAAATTTTCTGTTTTGGCTGAAAAATGACACCAAGGGTAAAGGCGCTCTTTCAAAAAATCTGATTTTATAAAAAATTAAGATAATTAAAAGAGCATTTTAATTTTATATCATAATATTAGATGAATGAAAATCCATAAATTTTTGTATTTAATACATCTTTAACACTAGAACAACTGGCATTAAATATATTGTCTAGTTTTATCACGTTTTTCATTTTAATACGTATTTGTAAAAACAACTGATTTGTTATTACTTTAATTTCTTTAATATTTAAATAATTAATTAATAAAAATAATTTTTAATCACAAAGGTTTTTCATATTTCACTCTAAGGTTTTCTTTGTTAAAATAAACCTACTTTGCATACTAATTTGCAAATTATAATTTACAATTTAATTTTGGAAATTGTAGCTTGATGTTTTAGACACACCTTGGACTAAGATTAAAATTTGTCATAAACTTTTTGACGACATAATGTAAAAGATATTTAAAAGGCTTTTACCTTCTGACGCACAAAGAAAATTATTTTTATAATTTCTTTGAAAACTACGAAACGGATTGATTTCAAATTTTGTATATTTTTTAAGCATATTGAAAATGTATGAAGTTAATAACTTTGTAATAACATGTAAATGTTTATTTCTTTTATAGTGTCTCATCGCAGAGCTGAATATGTATGAGTCGCAAGTAGGCGGATATAAAGAAGACGCGGTGTCAATGGCCAACGAAATGTACGAATTAAAAAATATGTTTTACACACAAAAACGAAAGCTCCAAAAAATAAAAGAGACGACCCTGAAATCCACATACCCAACCAATTTTCCAGATATTTTGATATCTAATAAAAAATTTTATGGGGGTGGCTTCAAGATAGCAAAACCTACTCCAAAAATTTGTTGCATTGTGGATACCTCATCAAATAGGTGAAATTAAAAATATAGTAAAGTAATTGCGTAACATAATTTTGTGTTTTTAAATGATGTATTATCTATGTATATAACACAAACGATGTTCCTTTAGACATATAAAGCTAGCGCCACACTATGCGCAATTCGTGATTCGTAGAAATTCGTTGGACATTCGTTATTGCTTACCACATTATTCGTGATTCGCAGCTTATCATTCGTAGTTTGTTATTTGTCGTTTCGTTCATGTTAACTTCGACAACTTTTAACTTTTACCTGTCATTACAGACTTGTCTATAATTAGTCAAGTTTTAATATTAGTAAAAAAATCACTATTTCCGTTAAAAAACCGCTCGGCTAGCGAATGTCAAATAGCACATAGTGTGGCGCTAGCTTAAGAGATACAAAGGAATAAATTTTCACAAATAATTAATTTTCAAAGTATTATTAATGTGACTAAATAAAAGCACATTATTAAATCTTTGTGAAAAATATTTTTTAATATCTTGAATAGATTTTTGTCACACTTTACTGTCCATTAAGGACGCATTATCTCAAGTCGATAACTATCGCAACTAATATATATATGTATATCTACCGCATTTATTTTAGCTTACTTTTATCTTCTCCATTATTAATGTTCTGCTATAAGGTAGGTCGATTGGATGATTTTATCGTTCCGTTGATTCATATTCCAGGTAAGGCTGGTATTACATTTGTCACACAACACATTTTTTAAATGTGTTGGCTGTAGGATAAAAAATTTCTAGATACTCGAGAACTTTCTTATGCTGCAACCAATGACGCTTGAAAAATTTTACGTACGACAAATGTAATTTCATCAGCCTAAAACGATTATGTAGGCGTATTATTTAGACAACAATTAGACAAGTATACGGATATACGGAAACGACGCCGAAGGCGATCAACAGACTGATGGGTGTTGAACTCTGGGATTGTCCTTGATGTAGATGCTTTTGTTGCCTTCGCATACGAAGGTGGTGCAGTATTGTTTATCGTATAAATATTTGTTTCATTTTAACTGTTTTTATCGCGTCGCGGCGCTATAACAATTATCGTAAAATTTAGAAGAAAAAAGAAAATCGAATAGGATGTAAATTTTCCTTGTAATATAGAAAAAAAGAACGTATTAGAAACGCGATAAATTAATAATCATGACCAGTACATCAGATGATGTATAATAAGTAAAGATACAAAGAAATAGTAAAAGATTTTTATTAAAGAGATTTATTAACATATGCGATAATAATTTTTTGCTTATCCTTTTCGATGTATACTGGATTATTTAAATAAAAAATTGTACAAATTGCTACACATATAATAAATGTATGTGTATGTGCAGGTATGTTTTATGCATATAGCGTCAATGAATCTATGACATATCTCTCATCATATTATTCGCACGTTAGTGGAGGTAGTTCGTCAATCAAATTGCCTTGTGCATAATCAAGACAAGAGCCACTTCAATTCCTGAACATGATATAGCGCACAATTTATGGTGGATCTCTCCGCAAAGATAACGAGAGTGCGATACAATGAGTATTGAAAAAGGAGAGAGACTATGAATAACAGGAATAATTCTGTGCAATGTATATCATGATTATCATGTTGCCATCGCTCTATTCTTCCAACACTTGATGCTGCCAATGTGAATATCGGATTAATATCAATTGACAAATCCTCGGCCAGCATATAAAGTGTGTGCTTATGTTTTAAGGCGAACGAGAAGAATACGTAAGTATTCTAGTTATTGCTATTGTTCAATAAAGGAGCTTAAATGGTCAATATTAAAGCGATGATTCTTCATTCATGCGTATAATTCTTTTATGCATTATTAATATTCATATATTTCGAGACGGTTTAATTCATCTAACATATATGGTAAAGTATGCAATGTAAAACGATTATTAATTAATAATAATGTAAGATTAAATTAGCTCCCGCAACATCCCCCATTAGCTCCGTTAATGAATGACGGATGGTCTCCGGCAATCGGGGCTCTCGATCTCCGAAACATATGTGCAGGATGATGCAAAGAGTGAACCGACATTATTTCAGGCAATCTCGGGATAAACTTTTACGTAAGTAACAATGGCAGCTTTATGCGAAAAAGAGCATGCCAAACTCATTCTCGGTTTTCTGTGACAAAGCCGATTGATTAAACGGGATTTTTAAAATACTTTATGGATTAAGGAAAGACAATTTTGTTTTCAAGTGACGAAGAATTTCGAGTGGGTTTGTTTAAAAATAAGTTTACTTTATCGGCATCCGTCACGCGAATAATTGAAAATATGTCGACGAAGTAATCTGTCATGTTTTCTGAGCACTCGCGGAAACTTTTATCTCACGTAATATCCACGCATTACAAGAACAAACGAGTTCAAGATCGTTTAAAATTTACAATTCAAAAGCTCAACTTAATTTCGCGAGTTAATTTTCCTTCTCGTCATTTCTCTACAGTGCAAAACCGTGAGATCGTTTCAAATTACTTTGGAATTATTCACTCCTGCACTTAAGACTGCTGGTTTAATTTTGATAGAGAACAACGCGAAAACCCTAGAAACGCAACAATGGATACCGCTTTTAAGTACGACGCCAAAGTTTATATTACTTATCTATGAACCAATTGTCACCATTACGTTTATAGACGCTGATACTTTAAGCATTCTAGCTATTTCTGTCGCTCGAGAAAGGTATTTAAATGGTCAATATTATAGCTTCGTCCGCACGCGAAAATGTCATAAACGCCAAAACAAAACTGGACAAATTAAAAAAATTAACAATTTCTAATTACTTGCAAATTGCTTGCAGTCGTACTCTTTTTGTGGATTTAGAAACCGACATTTTTATTTGTCTGAAATATTTTTTGCATTTTTCACTCTCATATCTTCTTGAAGTACAAACTCCTGCGTCCGTAAAAAGATCCACGATACAATAAAATAAAAGTGCATTTTCATATACAGAAGGTGTCGTAGATTTAGATTCTAGATATTACGCGCTTCCAAGTATCAAAAGTTTCTTATTGTTACGAAAGAGCTGTCTCTGACACGAATATACCTGACGTGGAACAAGGGAATATGGAAATATCCCCCTCTAATTACAATAAACTTTTAACATACTTACGTTATTTTAGATTCAAATAAAGGACGCGATTTCGAAACACATCCGTTAAAATAGTAAATTTAACATTGATCAATAATCAATTAATTTTTCAACGGTGAAAGGAATAAATAAGTATTCTTTAAATTACTGTAAAGCATGTATCGCAACAAAGAGCGAAAGTTCGTATATTTTGGACGAACGTGTAAGTTGACCGGTACGTATTTGAGAGCAAGCGCGATAGATAGCATCACCTCTCGGATGGGGTGATGATCAACTATGTCAAGGACTTATTACAGTCATTTTTCTTCACTTGAGCGAGGACAGCTGTGTTGGAAAGGTGTTGACGTGAGTCTTTTCTTATTATTTATGAGTTGCAGAAAAGTGTATTGTCGATTTCTACAGCTCACATCACAAAAAAATTTACTTTTTAATAGAACCTTAAGACCAGATACATTATAAGTATATTTCAAATATATTTTAGATATTTAATGTTACTTCGAAGTCGTTTTTAGTTAAGTATTTAATTTGGACCATGAGAAAAAATGTGTAATTTGATTCAGTGAGTGATTACACAATGACAAATAAGTTGTCACATTTTTTCGAATAACTATTAGAGAAAAACTTGCTTTCTAGTATGCGGATGTTATAAGGAAGATTAGATTCAGTGTGAAAGGAAAAAGTGTAGAATGGTTATATGCAAACTGCGCCGAGTTAACGAATTAACGAATTAATTATTTTTGTGACCCAAGTTTACAATATTGATTTCACATTCTTTACTAATGTTCTCCATTATTCTTCAATTTCACTGTGTTTTATATGTATATTAAGGCATTTCGAAAACTGTTTTACATTGAAGTTCAAATTACATATACAGATTGATTCTTAAGTGGCAAAGATGTAAGGGGATATTCCTTGGCCTATCTCATGAATAAAATATCCTATAAAGCGTCGTATGCCCTAAAGTGCTTACTTTTTAAAATACAGAAAGACAAAATTTGAGAAAAAAATGAGAATTCTAAAAACGCTTAGAGATATTTTATTCCAATTTGATGTACGTATGCTTATTAGAAATCATTTTTCAGTACCGGAGTGAAACGACCTGTTCCCTAATAAAAAATGAAGCTGTTTGCATTATTAATTTCAATTATTTATTTTAAACACAAGAGGCAACGTCTGGTGAGTTTTAGTTCGGGATTTCAAAAAAATTATTAAACTTGAAAAAATAGCGTACCATTCTTTCATTAAAAAATGATTATCCATACGCACGCCCTCGTGGATCCAAAAGTGTTTAATCGATATTGGATAATGGTTTCTTAATATCGCATGTATTCACATCAAATTTGAATAAAATCTCAGCGTTTTTTTCGAAATTTTTACTTTTTCAGAAATTTTGGAAATAAAGCACTTTAAGGTATGTCCATAGGACATTTTAGTCTCTTAAAAATATATTTTACTATCCTGAGGCGCCATCCCGACGGGATTTATCTAACTGCAAGATAAACGTTAAGTAATCTAAATTACATGGACTTTCTCTATCGCACCGGCCGAAGTTGAGATCTAGACTTTCCTTTAATTCGTGGCAGGTATTTTTACCAGTTCGATTAATGAGATATGTAGATTTATCTCGTAATAACCGATAAATGTTATAGAGAACGTTATGAAGGAAGAAGATTCAACCTGGAGGTAATATTTTTCGCAATAAATTCTTTATGGTGGTTTAAAGGATGTTCGTTAATATGAAAAAGTTAAATCGATTTAAGCTGAATTTACTGTTTCAATGAAAAACTGTGTTTCAAGATTGACAAATAATCGGCGCGGAGTTTGCGTCGGGAAAAGTACAAAAAACTCACACGCAAATGTTATTATAACACAATGAAATCAGCTCGACCGAAAATGACATGTTGTTTTTACTTTCCCCTATACTTTGGAAAAATTCAATTGGACGGAACCCTTTATATTAAGATAATACCGTACAAACACATTACGCGTAAGTGCGCGTAAAAGCGAATTTTCTACTAGGGCGTTACCATGAATCTATCCTTTCTGGATAGGACAGGGTAGTTTGACGGCGCAGTACAGCGCTTGCGCCGCGCGAGATGGATCCACAACTCGGTGGTAAAAGTCCCTCTCCCTATTTAGTAACACGGCGAACGTTCGGTCGACCCGATTGCGTCGCGTCCTGTCTCAGTGTTGCGAATCGTGAATGCATGTGTTTATTTCTTTTTTTCTCTCATAAGCATTTCTTTCACCCCACCCTTCCCCATGCTATCTCGCCCTCTTTGTTCATCACCCTAATTACCAACCCCTATGCTTCACAGCAATTTGCCCTTTCCTTTTTTAATGTAAAATCCTACATTACAACTCCGTCGGTGTAACAAGCGAAACAAGGATGCGACTGCGTCAGACAAGAGGTGAAAGCTTCGTCGTACGAAGAGGAATGATAAGCCTTCAAAAACCCAGACAGAGTGTGACTTCGGTCGCTCTGCACTCTTCGTGGCTGTCCCTTAAGGCGCAGAAATTGATACAATCGGTTAGATAAGAGCAGACGAGTAAGCGGCTAATGAAATAGAAGAGTTGAATCGTGGAGCGTTGCTGTAAACTGTGCGGAGCGATCAATTTCTTGAACGAAGGCTGTTACTCTCGCTACTATTATTTGCTGCTACTCGCGACAGTTCCACAGGCTGGCACGAAGATCATCGATCGATTCAACAGGATGACAGCGTGACTCCTGGGTTTCACGGCCTATCGAAATACAACACGTACAATTGCTGAGCCAACAGGTACGTGGACGACTCTGTTGCTTTTATTTTAATTCCTTTCCCCCTTTTTCCCCATTTCTGACACCTATCCAATTCGCCTCTGTGGATAAAGGGAAACGAAAGCTCCGAATGGTCAAGGGGAAATAAAACTAATCTTTTGGATATACGCAATTTCGTTGTCCCTCCGTACAATTCGCATCGATCCCGAAAACCCCCGGTTTTTTAAATCGTACAGTCGAAAACATATGCCAAAGTGATCATTATCTTCCTTTTAAAAAAAACCCCTCGTTCCTTTGAAGCGTAAGCCCCAAACGTAAAATAAACAGGTGCAAAATCGCATAATGTTTACCAATTTTGCGTTCTTGAAACGCGCTGTGATAATAAATCTGAATGTAAATCTTTCTATTTGTGCATGGTCGAGAATGGTACATACATAATCGCTTCCACATCACACCGTAATATTTATATTCTAGCAAACAGCCGTGATCAAAGACTGTTTGTTACAACGTTTATCGAAAACGCGGAAATAATTAATTAAAATCTTTTTAAGAGTCGCTGCAACGCCAAGCTAAATCACGGATAATAAGTAAAATTGCGCCAAGCAATCCTCCACGCGCACATCCACGATCAATGTCCCGAAAAGTAAATAATGGGCGTTTTATTTCAACGTAATATTCTAGGATAAACAGTCCTAGAATAGACGGGCAATTAATGGAAATACAAAAATGTTAAAAGTTAGAGCGTGGCGGTACGGAAATAATAATTCCGCCAAACTTAAAATATCCCGTATTTTACACGTTTTGCTATCGTTACATTGTATATCGTGTGGCTTGAATATCCAAATAATATGAAAATAGCAAGCTGCAATTACTGCAGCGTAATATTATTTCTACAATTGCTTTTCTCAATTCATTAAAGGATGCAGCTGTAATCTCGCGAGTCGTATAAATATAAATTACATCAAGCACAACAGTTATTTCCGGGACATCAAGGGTAACTGTTTCTTCACATATTACATGGTTAGGTCAAGTTTAGTTGAGATATTGTCCAATTAGTAGGAAAAAGAAAGCGAGAGGATAATGTATATAACGTACCAAGTGCGCTGTTAAGAAAAGTATTCGGAGGTGCTTCGCAAAGGAAGTTATTGCGCGAGCAAGTTTATCAAACACCGCATGTATTCAGAAGAATAATTTATCTCGAGCCAGCAATAGCAATTAGTAATTTTTCTGTGACAATCTCAGCGAACATATCATCACTGCAATATTTCACAAAAGCTTTGAAACAAATGGAAATATAACATGGTAATACATGACATTATTAATTATTGTTACGTTCAACAGTACATGCGCAGGGTATGTGTTCTGTTGCTCACTATACTAATTCATATTGCGGCATTGATGCAACCGTGATCTTTTTTAATGTACGAGCTCTTCTGTTCTACTAGTGGCGGTTATTTCAACATTGAACGTTTCCATAGGTTGTACGTAAAAATGGAGTTACTTGAGAACATTTTCACAGTAACCTAAGCTAGAGCGAATAATTTTTATCCTACCTTAAGAATTTTATTTCCCACGCGTTTTATATTTCATATAACCGATGAAAATGGTGTATACCGATAAATAATATATATTTTATTTTAAACAGGTGAGTTTAAATCAGTTTAAACAAGTCAAACTTTAATTTCGATGAAAATTACGTGCACATATAAATAGAGCGAGCAATTTCTGATTATACTCCGTTGAAAATGCTGTGTAAATTATTTGATTACGTTCAGAAGGGAGCGGATAAAATGGCGATTACAACCAGAGAGAAGAATAGAAAAGATTATAAGAAAATGAGAGAGACAATGATAAAAACGAGAGGAAAGAAGAAAAGCTTTTCTTTAGAAGGATTTTAGAATAATTTTAGGATAAGAATAGGTTTTCTAACAGGAAGTTTAGAACAGGAATGATGAAGAATGAAAATAATGGAGAGAGAGTCTAGAAAAAAAGTAATGCGATGTGACTCAGCTTTTTTCCGTACTATTACCAGGCAACGATGTATCGCGGAAACATTTTTATCATTTCGTTAAAAGCACATTCGGATTGAACTTCCTAATAAACCGAAGAAATCTTTCTAAACCTTTTTGATTAAACTTTTTAATAAATCCCTGAAATTCCGTAGTAATTTCAGGGAGTAAATAAAATATCAAATTTATATCAACCGATTCCGTCGTCGTATGCGATAACATGAAACTTTAAAAATTTCTGGAAAATATTTCCGGAAAAATAAAGTTTCTTAACTATCAGTACATACATGTATGTGATAACAGATATTTTAACTTGTGAAATTTGACGAATAACAAGAAGTGAGTTTTGAAAATGAAAACGCGGTTATTTTTGCGTGAATTAATTTTATGCTGTACTTAATCAACGTTAATAATAAATAATAAAAACAAATCGTACATTTCGACTCTGCCTTGATCTACCCTCAGAAACGCGGTAATAGATAAATTACATAATATAGTGAGTATTTAAATAATGTAAATCTCACGAGCGTGAGGATAGTAATAAAAATTGAATGTAAAAAGTTGCTAAATATATTTTCAGATATACATAATATATCTATCAATTCCTAGGATTATTTAAAGACCTTAATACTATTTTTTCTAATAATAGTTTAAAACTGATGGGAATAGTTTTAAATTAGTTAATTAGTTTATTGACAGTTTGCAAAAACTGATTTAATAAATTGCATCTTTAACAGTTGATAGGTCTGGCGTATTTAGGACGCTCTGCATGTACGCGTGAGGATAATAAAAGTTGCAACACTTTGAAGAACGGCTTTGCGAAATTGTAAGATATATCATGCTTCATAAATGCAACTGCACATAAAGCTTTATGAGCGAGTCGCAATATCTTAAACATTGAATTTACACAGTATTGTAGAGCGACGCGTGGCGGTATCTCAAGTAATATGTTTATGAAGCAAATAGGGAATTATTTATAATTTTTGTAAATGAGTTATTTCATATCCGACGAGCTTTTATGCTTCGTATTGGGATGATTGTGCACGTGTATACTCCGTGATGAAATCGCAGTATTAAACACACATTTAAAAATCGATAAATGTGATATTGACAAGTGCGTATCCGATGACAATGCAGGCAGGTGCGAATCATCATCGCAGCTGACAACTTCTTCATAAAGAAGGGCATATGTAAATGACGTTTAGGACAAAAATATTGACAACTCAATAAAACTCCAATAAGAGCGAATTGAAAAAATGTAGAATCCCGTCGCGCAATTAAGAAGATCTGTTACCGTTGTTCTCGGTTATCTTTGGTGGATTGCTATTGAACGTTTCAATTATGCCCAAGACGAATTAAAACGTAATTTTTAGAGCCGCTGTTGTTGCCACCCTCGCAAATTCCTGCCACGATCCTACCATTCTCCGAGGATCGTGCAGTATGTACATATATGTATACATAACATACTTTAGTTACATATACACCCAGAAAAAAGTTTCTTTGAAATCAAATGAACTTTCTTTGAATTTGGACCTTACTAGATTTTTATCTAGTTTCAAAGAAATAATTGTTTCACTTTAACCAAAATTTTATTCGCTTAAGACTGGAATCTCTAAGAGAATTTATATCTACCTGTCAAATCTAGTAGATGTTTTAGTAGAAGTAAATAAAAATTTAGTAGAGACGCCCACCTATAGTGAGAGGGAGGTCCAGGTTCAAACCCTGGCTGAGGTAATATTTTTCACAATAAATCTAATGTGTGAAATATTTAGGCACTAACACCCTGTCACGGCTCTTAGTCCTTTATTCCTTCAAATTTATATTTATCACATTTGAGTCATACGAATTTTATTAATTTGTTAAAATTTAGTAGATTCAAAGACACGCGATTTTAATTTATCTCGTTAATTTAACTTCAATAAATATTTTTTCTGTGTGTAATGGCACCCGTAAGAAATTATTGTGAGTAGTCTGGACATAAGACACGAGACGCGTCAGGGACAACGTACTTGTAAACGATAGAAACGATAGAAATCTGAAAGACGAGTTTTCGTAATCTACTTTTTAGTAATCTTAATTTTCCAAAGAGCTTAATTTTTCTTCAAATAACATGAATATCTCCTGAAATGTATGTATGCGAACAATTGCGAAAAGAATAATTACTTGTAAAGGTAACCAATGCGTACACTTTTATGTAAAATTGTGAAATTTGGCACACATGTATTTCTGCTCTCACTACTATGCAAAATATAAATAGTATATTGATATGTATATACCAGCGAGTATGTGCGTTATGCTAATTTTTACAATATCGAAAATGAGTGTATTCAAAGAGTAGGTGATAACAATTTTTATATTCATAAAGTAAGTTAAGTTAAAAATTCATTTATTTTAAAATTTTGTTAAAAAGCACTCAACAATTAAAAAATGTTGACATATACGTTCAAAGTTACATTCAAAATTATTTCGTTCTCGTTATTAGACACGCAATAATCGTACATGTGTAAGAATGCTAACTTTTCCAAGATAATTTAATATCAATTGCAGTTCAAAGTCGAAAACAGACGCGAAAATATCATTAGGCTGTTTGTCGCGATTAATATTACCGTATGCCCCGGTGGTCGAATTGGTGAGACGCTCGTAAGGGAGGTTCAGGTTCAAACCCTGGCTGAGGTAATATTTTTCGCAATAAGTATCTTTAATTAAAATTTGCGAGCTGGATCGTCTAATAATTTTCTCATTTGTTGATATAAAGTTTCTTTATTAACTTATTTATTAATGTTGACTGTTGTTATTAATTAAATGTGCGGGCAATTATAAAACATTAATTGTGAAATGTTCTCATAAGTATTTTTATAAAATGATTTTTAATTATTACATAATTGAATATATAATTAATACATAATTTAATTACTTTGCAATAATTGCGCTAATAATGCAATGACACATTAACATATTTTATCGTATTACAGATAAACATGTTTCTCAAAATGATGCAAAATTAATCTATCAA